TTGGTAACTAAAAATATAACAAACTAAAATGATCATTCTTTTAAAGTATTTGTGTATTGGGCTTGCTTGCAGATGACTTAATGAATAATTATAATGTTGCTTTTAGAGCAACTGCGTGAATAACATTTAGATTCAACAATGTTTCTTCTGTTGCTTGTTGGTGCCAGGCTCAGGAGAACTTGTGGTGTCATCAATAAACTACTAGATTAGCTGCATCATTCAATTTTTTTCAATTTATTCACATCTTTATCAGCCCATCTTTAGTATCAAATCAAAACATTGGTTGTGTTTTTGGTGTTGTTTGGAAGTTCTTGACAGAAATAACAAATCTAAATGTTCTCTGTAGAAAAAAAAAAAAAGAAAGGTCAGGGGGTAAACAAGGTGAGCCTTCAATACGTCACACAAGTCTCTTCTCAGTAGAGAGATCTTGTATCTTCTGTCCAGGCTGTTTAAGTAGCTCCGTCTTTGACATCATGAAATCTGCTGCTTCAAATCGAATCAGTGAATCATTACAGCCCAGCAGCATCACTTCGCATTAGACACCGGTTTTTAAGTGACTCAGAATGAAGATGATGAACTGCAGCCAGATTCAGCATGTCTGATGCACACGTCAACACAAAGCTGCTCTCAGGAGGGTCTGATGGATCTGTCTGAGTTTGGGAAGGTGAAGAACGGAGAGCACAGCGTGCTGGAATCCTCCAAAACATCCCTCATCTGTACAGAGCTTTATTACACAACGAAATGATGAGAGTCACTGGGTACATGTACTTATTAACATGTTTGTGTTTCAGCTTGTTGTTTGTCTGTACACAAGAGGCACGTACCCACCTGTTGTAATCCAATTTTCTTTTTATTTTGTAAACAACACTTGGATTATCAGAAATTAAAGCCAAGAACAAGATACTTTGGATTTAAAATATGTTAAAGGCCATGGTCTCTGTATGCACTTAACTTTCATCTGTGAGAATTTATGAGCTCCACTTTATTTTTACTCCCATTTTAAATATCCGCAGACCATTCTGTTTGTCATGTATTTGTTCATTTTTACTTTCTTTCATGTGACAGCCTTCAAATGTGACTGAACACATGCATGTAGATTTTGTGTTGTATTGTTCCAGTCATATAAAGTAACACGATATAGAGTAAATGAAAAGACATATTTTCATCTAACACATTCTTACATTTTCCATAATGTGTTTTCAGCAGCTAGATTTTGTCCCGGGAAATAAACTACAACATGTGCTTTTAGACAATATCTTTTTTTTTTTTTTTTTTAGCTTGAACCTTTGCTTGAGCTCTTTGATTCTGTCCTGAATGGAGGTTTAACAATATAGTCAAATGTTTCCTTGTAGAAATGATCATTTATGAATATTTTTACACAACATTGATATAATATTTTGAGTTCATTAGTAAATTCAAGGCCTTAAAGGAATGCTTATCACCCCCTATCGTATACACAATAGTTTTAGTTGTAATTGTTTTGTTAAACTTTGAAAATAGCAATATGCACAATGTTTTATTATGTTCATAATATGTGTTGTGCCACAACAGATTTTTGTTCAAAATCTAAGGAACTGACTGAGTTGTTGTCATTTTAGTGTTTTTTTAAGGTCATTTGACTTTGGCAACCATCTTAAATCTGGTTTACTCTAAAAGTGAATCAGTTGTAAATGTGATTACGTTCTACAAGTTGTATCAAATCCATGTCAATCCTGAGATATTTTGGTAACACACAATGACTAAAACATTATGGTTTACCCTTTAGCGAAAGGCAATAAAAACTTATTTTAATAAGTTCACCTTATTAACAGGTCCATGTGAGAAGGCTGCCTTAGATCATTCATTTTTTGTTTCTGTCGCAGCGCAAAAAAAAAAATCCAAGATGGCTACCACTATATTTATATGTTTAAACTGTCCACCCCTATCATTTGAGGAAACTATTGGCGCTTGTCTCATTTCTCATTGGTTGTGCACCACACTGCACCAGTTTAGGGCCTACTTAGTGCCAGTAACCCCCCCCCCCCCCCCCCCACACACACACACACACACACACACACACCACCCAACTCAATTAATGGGACCACCTTGTTTGTGTTTCCAAGCAAACAGCTACGAAGTGACGGTTTAGATGTAAGCTGACAGCAGCCAGTGATCGGCTGCGTCACTGGATGACCGCCCAGCTAAACTGTGAGCTACGTCTGAACCCCCATTTCTTCTTCGATCGTGTTGAGTGTGTGTTGATTTTCTAGTTTCTGGTATGGAAGCTCCAAAAATAGTGCCACGGACCAGTGATGAGGTACAGACCTTCCTAGCTATATTAGCAATGTTAGGATTCAGTGTGAGCTCATTGTGACACAACATAGCAATAAAATCCTTGTTTATTAGGCCTCCTTCAAAGATCAGCAGCACGGAAACTTTCCCCAGCCCTTCTGTGTTATTGCATCATCACTGCCTCCTAGCTGTCTTCTTATGGATTTATAATGCAGCTGGTCTAAATATGTTGGCAGCTGTGAATGAGTGGTTGTTATAAGACAAGAACTGTGTGTCAACACTGATTATGTTCACTCACAAAGGGTTAGAGGCAGAGCTACACCTCTCTCACTCTCTCACTGTCTTCTTGAATATATGCAAGCACATGGTGATGCTGGAGAAGACCAGCTGATGACAGATTAGGTGTGGTTGTCTGACAGTCTGCGAGCCGCGGCCTGATTTTAGCCTCAGTGCATCACAATGAAAACTAGTTTACATTATTTTATCTTTAAGACATGGAGAGTAGAGATAAAGAAGCTTGTTTTAGATGAATTATACATTTTGTAACTGCAGAAAGTTTTTTTTTTTTTTTTTTTTAAAAAGCTCATTTGGCAGAATCAATGTCAACCACATCATCCATAAATAGTTTTACTTTACCCAACATTTTTCAGTCAGGTCATCTGACTGGTGCTAAGATACAGACTAACGACGAGGAAGAGGGCCGGCACAGGAGGAGGGGGCGTGCCAAAGACACCATCTTAGCACCAACATAACTGGTTTGTTCCACTTTGGAGTAAGCTGTTTGGGGAAGAATCAGTTTTGTGTTGTGTGTTTCCTTGACTGATGAAGCCTTCGGGATGGAAGGTGAAACGTTTCAGCAACAAAAAAAAAAGAAATTATCCAGATGACCTGACTGAAAATTGTTGGATTGTATACCTGGATTATTGAGCATGGACTTTTTTTGGTCTTTAGTTCTACATTGGTATTTTAAAATAAATATCATGTAGTATGACCTATTTCACAAGCAGTGTGTTGGCTTACTGGTTGCCCCCCAGTAAGAAAGTGCTGGGTTCCGGTTTGGACCTGGGGTCTTTCTGTGTGGAGTTTGCATGTTCTCCTCGTGTTTGCATGAGATTTCTCTAAGTACTCTGATTTCCTTCAACAGACCAAAAACATGCATGTTAGGCTGCCTTCAAGCCCAGGCCTCGCTTGCAAAGAGATCTGTGATGTCTATAGGATTTGCCTTAAATAAATAATAATAATTTCATTCTCAAACTTAGATCTAGAATTGTCATTTTTGAAAGGCTGTTTACAAGTTCATTCATACAAGATGTCACCTTGATGTATTTGAATGTTTCCATGAAGGAACAAATAAAACGTTAGCATGAGTCATATATTCAAAAATAAGCCATTTCTGAGGTTAAAATAAAACAGAGGGGCTGTTTAAAGCTGCAGAAAGTCTCAACACTGTGTCCATGGAATATGACACAAATCTCTAAAACATAAACCTTCCTTAGTAATACTTTATTGCACAAACACATTCTGTGTTTGACCAAACCTTCACTGAACTAGTTATGCAATCCCAGATGTCCAGTGAGGGCTTGCAGTACTGGTTTTAGAGAATCAGATCAAAAAGTCCTGGGAAATCTGGGGCAGGAAGAACCAGTCCACTGCTCCTCATGTGCAGTTTAAGATAACCAAGTCTTTCCTCTGCACTTCACACGTCTCTTGTCTGAGAACACCTGGGGTTGAATAATCCCATTCAGTACTCTCCTTGGTAAAGGAAATTGACAAGTGTGCAATCAGTTGACAAATATATCACATATTGTTCAGTCATTGTTACACCTGAGACGTGCCCTTCATAGTTTTCTTATTTGCCCCCTTTTTTTTTTCCTTTGGACAAGCAGCTGACATGATGACAATGCCCTTGTGTTTGTGTGCTCCTCTGCAAGTTTTACAATATATTTCATGAACCATTTGACTGATTTTATTACAATTCTCAGAGTAATCAGTGGATGAACATCTACAACTGATTAATTTGCGGCGTCAACTCAAATCAAGATGGCTGCCAAAGCTAAAGAGTATTAGTATACAGAAAAATGACAATCACTCAGTTTCGCATGCACTGAGGTAAATTTTAGTGACAATAACTGTAAGTTATCTCCAACACCTGCACCTACATATATTGCACAAGATCTTAGTTTAAAATGCTGACACTATTGGAGTCAAACCTGTTTGACTGTTAGCAAAATATCTCACGAACCACTAGACAGATTTATATAAACCTTTCAGAAAGGAATCAAGGAACGGGCATACACAAATTATTAGTGTTTGGAGTCCGTTCAATTCAACCTTATCAAACACATAAATTGCTTTAACTCGGTCGGTTGTACACATATTGAGGTCAAATTTGGTGTGGTAGTGCCTGAGAGTTATTCAGAGCATACGGTTACAGCACATACTGTATTTTCTGGACTAGAAGTCGCACCGGAGTAGAAGTCACGTTTATTCTTAAATAGTGCTGTCGTTTCTAACCTGGACCCGAGGCCCAGCCTGGCCCAACCTGGAATTCGAGCCGGGCTGAGACAAATTAATGTGCTGGATGGGCGGGTCGGGTCCATGTTGGGCTTTTGATTGCATCAGCGGACGTGCGGCAGGTGATCCTAATTGGATCATCAGCCGCGCACGGCCGCTGATGGGTTGGCCATTGACCATGCATGGCCGGTTGACCATGTGCTGACCGGCCAGTTGAAAGAGATTAAAAAATGTCCAGATGGCTGACTGCCAGCAATCCAACCAAGCCCTACTGGACTGCGCGTGGCCGACGACCCAATTTGGATCATCAGCCGCGCGTGCCTGCCAACAGGAACAACATATATGTAAGCCTACCAGTAGAAGGTATCAAAAGCCTAGAGGGCCCTCTTGTGACTCTAGCGGCTGCAGTTGCTAATGTTTACTCTGGTTTATGTCAGTATGAATGAACATTTAAAGCGTCAAAAATTGCATCATGAATATGGAGGAAAAAAGTATATATGTCACTTCGGACTATTAGTTGCAGGACTGGCCAAACTATGAAAAAAACTGCAACTTATAATCCGAAAAATACGGTACATAGATTTGATCAAAATGGCTACATTTCCTTCATTTCTCAGGAACAAAGTGTAAGCTCAAGGAGCAAAGCCATGTAAAAATCTAATCCATGCTTGGTAATTGCGTATATATAACAGCTGAGAATCAAAGAATGACGGTCCATTTGCCACATTATCATGTTTTTAATCTCTACACATGTTTTGTTGCAGACGGAGAAAAATCGATATTGAAAAACCACCTGGAGCAGAAACCACAAGCACAGTGGGGCTCCATGGATCCCTCCAGAATAAGCAGAGGTCCCCTGGAGGATATCAACTCACCTGAACAGTGAGAACTCAAATTTCCATTGCACCTTCATTTCTGCTCACCCCACCCCCGCCCTTTCTGTTTTGTTAGCTTTCTCATCAGACTACACGTCACATGTAGCGCAACCACATGCAACACTTCGGCGGTTGCTTAGGCAACCAAGTCCTGTAAAAGCATGGACCGGCTGTGAATTTCTCCCTCCTACGCCCATCAACACACACAGAGTGCACGTGTGTGCTCGCAGCGTGCAGGAAACACTGCAGCTTACTTAACAAACACGTAAAAACGTGCAGCTGATTGATCTGTTGTCCCTGACTCGAGAACGCTGATGTCACAGAGAGTAAAAACACTCGTGCAATAAATAGGTATCCACTTTGGCTCATTATTCATAAAGCAGCAACGCTTAGGAATAACGACTTCATCAACGAGGAAGGGGACATTTCATGCATCGTTGAGAGCTCGGCCTCCTGCAGCGGTTTTACTAGAACTGGGAGAAGAATGCCAGATGGACGGAGAGAGGGGAAAAAAAAGGAGACGGCAGACAAAGAGGGCACAAAATTAACAAGAGCTACAGGGAAAATGGTAGACTTAGATAGAAAGCTGTTTAGATAGACAAGAGGGGAGGTGGAGACTCACAAAGGTTATATAACAACTGATTTACAGCTCACATCGGAAGGAGCTCCGAAAATAGACAGGGAGGAGAACAGAAGTAAAGGAACTCTCGCAGCTATTCCCATGCCACATGAATGTTTGATCACAACGAGGGAAGAGAGATGACGAGGGAGCAGGAGAGAAGGTGAAGAGGAAGATGAGACAAACATATGGAAGTTAGAGAAGAGTTTTAAATAGAATACGTAGCGCAGGACCACTACTTTGTATTAAAGAAGTCCTTTATGAGCAAAATAAATTATTTGCCACAAGAATTGCTCAGGATCACAACTAGGCCTGAAAGTTATCGTAACAATGTTTCAAAGTTCAGCTAATTGAGATATTATTGTATGGCTAAACAAGCTGCATTAGTCCCTCTTTTATTCAATTTTATTTTACATAACAAGCGTTTGGTTATGTAATTTTCTTACAAACGACTGGCAGCGGCTGTGGCGAGATGGGGTGTGAAGTGTCACACCAGGCGGTGCATGAAATGTTCTTTTAGTCAGATGATCCTAGAAGCTTGGCAGGAATATTATAGGCTTAGCAAGAAGAAGTGAAGCTGGGAAAGAGGTCGCTAAAGAATACATCGTGAAGAATTAGAGGGGTGTTTTGTGGAAACTTCAATTTGCTCATTGAATTATATTGATCTCCGTCACTTTTCCTGCTCCCTAATTATTTTTTTCCTACCTTTAGCTCGTTTTTTATTTCACTCCATCAACTGGATACAACGTTTCTCACCTCTGGTTTGTTCAAATGGTTTTCAGACTATTTCCTCTCATCCAACAATTCAGGTCAAGTTCCATCTTTTGTTTCATGACTAATTGGTTGGTTAATCATTTTGTTATTGTGGTGAACGCCCAAGGGAGAGTGTGATGAGATGACCGAGGTTTCTGCTCATCTGAACACAGGTGGTTCACTTCACTTATTCATTGAGTGATGCAAATGTAATCTACACACAATAAATTGTTCACAGGCACAGAAAATTACATGACAGCAACCTGTGAAGCATGATTTAAAAATAAAAGCCCTGCACACACATTTATATGACCTCATGAGACCGGATCAATTGGACTTTAAGAGGAGGACAGCAAATGAAGTCAGGGGCAGAGCAGAACGTTAAAATGTACAAATTAATGATTTGTATAAGAAAAATTTGTTTTTCTTTGATGCAGTTTTATATGTAGTCTCTACAAGGCCTGTCACAATAACAAATTTTGCTGGGCGATGAATTGTCTCAGAAATTTTTGCGATAAATGATAATGTTGTTTGAAATTTGACAATAATTAGTAATTATTGTCAAATTTGTTTTGCATGTAGTACCTTTTTTTGACCACCGGATGGCAATATAAGACTGAACCGAAGGATGATAGTGAGGGAGCCAGCATCGTGTCTAAAAAAAATGGGAGGGAGGCCCCTTGACGTGACATGGGCTGTCTCTCTTCAGTTCTCAAAATGGCGGACGCTCGGTGTGGTTTAAGCTCTTTAGCATAGCATTTTCCACACAAAGCGTTCAATAAAACATCAGTAAACAAGTTCTCAGCTTCTTTTTGCAGAGAAAAACAACTTTTTAGACGAAGGCACGGGTTTCAACCATGAATTTTGGAGCTTCGACAAGACAGAGGTTCTTTTCCCCCCGAGGTCGGCCTGTTAGCTTAGCTCGTAGCTTAGCTTAATAACTTAGCTGTTTTAACAATCCAAAAACACGATTTTGGACGTTAAAATGAATTTTAAAGAGAACAGAGAAAGGGAGGGGTCAGTGAAGAGTACCGGAGTTGAGACTTTTGTCATCCAGTGTCTTCAGAAAGAGAGAGGCACGAAGAAACGATAAAGCCGATAAATGAAAATGAGGTTGATAATTTTCATTTATCATGAGATTAACTGATTTATTGTTTATGACAGACCTAGTGTCTACACCTTAACTAGTCTGCACCTTTCTTTAGATGGGTTCAAGCATGAAATGGAGGAAAAAAGCAGCATAAAACTTTTATTATAGAGCATTCTGATGGATGCTGTATATTCACTCTGTATAAAAGGTGTTTTATCATTAAATTCTGTACTAACCTTTTCAAGATTAAAGTGCTCATGACGTCTATTTTTTGTATAGTATCGCAAAAAAATTAATGCCACTGAGATGAAAAATTGTTGAGATAGTCACATACACAGTAACAGGAAGTGATGACTAGGGGCAGTTTGGTGCTCTGGGTGAACAACCCCTACAGTACCCCCCCCCCCACCAAGCTGGCATCACCCAACTTCCCCCCAACCCACCCTGGGCCACCGAGGGCAGCTGCCTGTATTGCCCATATCAGAAACCGCCATCGGTGAAGAAAAAAAATCTAAAGTTACATGGCCATTATAATGCTGTCTTGGTGTCTTATTATTGTGCATTTATGAGTTATTTTATTATTTAATTTTAGTAATTAAGTGTGATAAGTGTTTCTACTTAAACACTATTGGAATGTTGTGATGTTGGAGATTCATACCCTGAAGCCCCGCAAAAAGTGAAAAAAACGTGAAGTAGGGATAGTAGTACGAGTAGCAAGTAGTAATTTATATATATATATATATATATATATAAAGGTGTTTTAAACCCTTCACACACTCTTGCAATATTCTAAACAATGTTTCTAAGCTAAACGCTCTAAAAGAGCGCAGTGTCATGATTTCATCTCTCTGCCTCCTCTGCTCTTTGCCACCCACAAACGTTCTTGGCCACGCCCACTTCTCCGCTCTGCACAGAGAACAGCTGATCAGCTGCAGGAGGAAGTTTTTTCTGCAGCTGTGGGCTGCACAAAGGTGCAGCAGGTGCTAAACTTAAAATAATGTATTTAAAATAAAATCCCATGCCGATCTTGTGGCTCATCCATCAATGAGCCAATTGTGTGTTATGTCCAATCTTATTTTTAAAAAACCGCAATAGAGCGAGTCCACGATAAACAAACCGCGAAGTAGCGAGGGACTACTGTATACAGTTTTATTTCTTTAATTGACTCAGTTGACTGTAGATTCTGACGTTTCTTTCTCCATTCTGCCCTGTTTGATTTGCAGCATACAGCGCCGACTGTCTTTGCAGCTTCCCATCCTGCACCATGCGTACTTACCTTCCATAGGAGGGGTTGATGCCAGCTGCACCAGCCCGAATGGAAGCCCTGGTTCCAGCCCGAGGCATAGACACATTCCCCCCTCCTACCGCGTAATGGTCTCAGGCCTGTGAGCTTTGTTCACTCTCCCACCTGGTTCTGTGCAGAGAAGACACAAATGGTTCCTTTTTTCTACAACAGACAGACTGATATCATCAGCGTAAGTGCGTATTTTGGACTGGACAGAGTGAGGGGGAGGAAGGGACAAAGTTGTGCTCTTCATACCTCTGCACCGCAGTCTAATGAGAACTGATCATGTCAGTCATGAAATGGTGGTAGAAGACAGACGACCCTTAAAACTCCAGTGCTTAACATCCTCGTGATCATCTTCCCCCTGCCTAGGCCTATCCATATATGCACAGTCAGACACAAACAACACAGATACACACCAATGCACAAACACAGTGACACCACAACAGCTGCGGTGGACCAGCCCTGATCTGATGTGTAGCCTTATCTACTTCAGAGGGGATTGTTTGTTTTTGTTGTTGTTTTTTTTTTTGTTCTGTTGTATGTACTCTATGTTAGCGGCTACATCAAAGCTTGTCTATCTTTAGCATTTCACTGCTTCAGAGACTGGATTTTGGTTTGGGAAGGGGGAATTTGCAAGATCCTACTAGACGGGAAGAAATCTCTTTCCAACCGTGTGAGACATGTAAATATCATTGTTCCTGATATTGACGTACTGTAAGCTTTGAATATGCTGTGAATGGACATTTCAAAGGGTTTCTCAGTGCAGACCTTGTAACAAAAGAAGGTAAATATGAAAATCTCAAATCTTGAAAACACAGAGTTCTCCAAATCAGATAAGATACCAATATGACAGTGTAGCTGTCATATTGACTAACAGGCAGCAATGATGCATCAAAATTTACAAGTCTGTAACAAAAAACAGCTTCAGGTCCCGTTCCTCTGACCTGAACTGAGGTGCACGTTGCGCTTTTTTCACTTTGCTTATTTTTTTACCACTAATTTGCATCAAAAACCTTGTGTAAATGCAAAGGCGTTTATATTTTACAACTTGATTAATTTGACTTTGGAAAGCATGTTTTACAAACTATTGTATATATATATATATATATATATATATATATATATATATATATATAAAATAGAACAAAAAATCTTCGCAAGAGTGTTTCAGTTTTATTTTACATGTGTTACATTGCCAGGAAATGCACATATAAAGGTGTAAACATACAAGCTAAAGAAAAGCACCTTGTGAATCCAGGTGTTTTTAACGTTAGTGATAAATTAGGTTACATTTAAACCTACAGATTGGTCTTAATAGACTATAAAGATGTCCGTCTGATCTTGTCTTCACGGCTTACCAGCACAGTTGAAGGTAATTGGGGTTGGGGTCAGTGGCACAAAGTTACAAGTCTTTGAAATGTGAGATGAAAAAAATAAGAGATGGTGGGAAAAATGTAGGTTTACCAGTTCCACAGCTCGACTGTGTCTAATGGTTAGCCTGAATTTTCATGCACAGCAGTATCGACATGCGGAAGTCTCGTGGAATAAACCTCAACTGACTGTAGCTCCAGTTTTAAGGCAATGACGCCACCACTGATGGTCACAGCGATACAGCACAAACACAGGGCTTTCTGTCACAGGTAATACTGGGTATCCTGAGAAATCTCTGTATGCTTAGCAACAGTGAACATACCACAGTTGCTGTGGAAATGTACACCTGTGCCACTGAGCTTGACCCAAACCGAGCTACGTTGAGCACAATGGTCATTGCAAGGGTCATTTGTCACAAAACTTTTCCTAACGCAGGAGAAAAGTGAATGAAAACCCTGGGGGGAAGACATCAGGTGGGAGAAGGTTTGTTCTCAAGATATTGTTTCACCATTGGTGTCTTGGTTTTTATTTTGTAAGGCGTTTTTCTTAAACGCTGTGCCTGTTGTCTTATATTGTAGCCTGCAAGACCCACACTACATACTCATGGGTCAGAATTGCCCAGCGAGGTACACATTGGCCGCACATACTGTACAATGTGGTATAGATCATTTAAATTCCACGTTTCAGTGAACAGGACCATTTCGGGAGTACATGGCAAAAGCTTCACTTTCCTATGGAGGATATTTCTCCTGCAAGCTGGTTTCTGAACATAAACGCTGTCGAACGGTCTTCAGTTGAGAAGCATTCAGAGCCGGACCGGGGACCACAAACGAGCAGAGATTAAATTGCGGTTGGATGTGTAGGGTGTGACTCCCGCAGAGAGCTCCTCCCCTTCCAGGCTTGGCCACCGCACAGGAGCAGGGAAAACCCCAGAGCACAGATCTCCAAGGAGCCACAACTTCTCGTGCACCTTTGCCAACCAGAGGATCAGAGTCACAGAAGACGTTATCAGAGGGTTGGTTCTTCCTCTAGAAGAAACAAAAACCAACCACACATTTTATATATTACATTATATGTGATTGTGTACAATTTGCTGATACCCTGATGATGGTGTCCATGTATGGAGTATTTGGTATTTGGCTTACTCAAGATGGCATGAAATTTAAAAAAAATGTATAATTCACAGAGTTACCTCTGTTTTTGCAACTGTTGTGATAAATCCACTCTGTTGTTCCATGGTCTCATTTGCACTGTTTTTGTTTCTTACAAGTTTTTCTCACCTCTCGATCAGTTCGCACATGTCAATGCCAAGATTCTCAGTGGACAAAATCATCATTCTTTCAAACAATATACTGGTTTAGCACCTGTTAACTGAGGGCAATAAAGTGAAAGTAGCAGCTATCGATCAATCTTAGACCACCCCCTGTAATTTATCAAATTACCATATATTTTTTCCTAATCAATCTAAAATGCCAAAAGTAGATCACAGATGTCAATGCTGTTTTATTTTAATGTGCCCCCCCTTTTTTTTTTTTTTTTTGTAATTCATTTCAATTCTAGTGAATGAAAAGTTGTTCAAATGCAATTGTGGTGGGTCAAGGGCTCATAATATCCTGTAATAACTAGCGTCCTGCTGATGGTTTGTATTTACCACAGGCCTTTTTACCGTTTTTAGTTTAAAGATCAAAGTGACATATATAATATCTTTGTGTGTTTCATTGTCGGGTTCTCTGGAGAATACAACATACACATGCAGAAATATAACTACATGAAAATATATTAAGTGGAGACACACAAAGGTCCATACTGTTAATGTTTTGTCATTTCGATATGTGGTACCACATGGCATTAAGTTGAATTAAACATTCAATATGGTAAATAAATCCTATAATAAATGCAACATGTTCAAGAGGGGCAATAACTTGTTTTCTTATTTATGGAAAGAATAGAGAATTATATAAATATAAATATATGTATATGTAAAGATCTTTACGTACATTCTCATTTTTACATAGGAAACATTTCACAAATACTCCACGAAGGTTCTTTGAAGTCTTTTTATTTACAGTATCTGTAACTATGTTATGTACATATCAGGTCTAGATATAAAGAAGTTGTATAAAATAAGTATCACACTGGGAACACCTGGACTTTTTGAGCCATTAGTTGTTATGGGGGGAGGGAATTTAAAAAAATCATTCTTTTTTTTTTTTTTTTTTTTTTTTTGTCTGAATGTTATGGACAGCTTTTACTATTCACATCATCGTTAAATAAAGTGTTATTGAAAATTATTGTGTTTTTTTTTTATTGTCTGTGCAAAGCCAAGTAATTATTATCGAGGCCCCCTGCACACTTGATGACAACCCCCCCCCCACACACACACACACAACACTAACAATAGTACAGCTTACAGCACATTGTACGCCCATCGACACACTATTATAAACCAACAACAAGCTATAGCCTGGACAAGCAAAGATGTTTCAACGTTGACCTTGACCTTGAAGCTGGTGTGATAAAAAGTATGTGATATGTTGTGGAGTGGTCGTAAAATTTTGTAGCAAGTTTTGTTAAATTAATTTGGAGTAGATTTGGGTGAGACAAGCAGAGACCTTGTTTTAACATTGACCTTGATTTGTGCCCTTGATCTTGGAGCTGGGTTCATGAAACATGAGGTGACACTCTGTCTAGTGGTGATGGATATTCATGTATGAGGTTTTGTTAAATTATCTTGAGCAGATCAGAAGTTATGGGCTGAACAAGAAACCGTTTATGGGAGGACGGAAGAAAACCATCCGTCTTTTAACGGGTGTATAAAAATCAGCTCTTACCTGAATAGTCTTTGCAACATCTTGACAAGATTTTCAGGTTCAGATTAAAAACGCAGTGGGCTCAACATCACCTGTGACATGTCTTAGAGGGTTTTAGGCCGAGACAAAAGTTATTTAGTAGATCACGGTTGTTAATTCATAGTGATGTCAGCATAGTGGATTCTGGGTAAGGCATGGTGGCAGCAATGGGAGCATGCAGCCCACATACTGTTGTGACTGACAGCTTGAAGTAGGACTGGTCACTATAATGGGAGTGCAACAAGAAACCATCTGTTAGAGTTTAAAACAATAAGAGTTTTCCACTGCAGATTTCTAATTTGCATTTTGTTTGTAATTTCTACTATCTTCTGTGTATACCTTTTCTGTATGGCTTTTGCAATTGACTCTGTTTCCAAATTGTCCTGCAACATGTGATACTTTTAATACTTCAGCCATCATTTGGGTTTGAAACTGCTACTTGAAAATTTGTCCCCTTAAGTAACAGTTACACTATGCATACTATTTAATTAAAGGCCTAGAATAAGTCTAACAAGCAGTATACTAATGTCCACCATCACTGAACAAATTTGAATAGTGTAAATTTGAATAGGGGGGGGGGGGGGGGGGCAACAGTGGCCTTGGCCCCCATAGATTAATTTTTGACCTCCTCAGTCATTTGAGAAAACTGTACTTTTAAGCTCTCTCTTCAGATTAAGGTGAGGTTCTGCCTCAAGTGGAGGAGTTCAAGTATCTCGGGGTTTTGTTCACAAGTGAGGGAAGGATTGAGTGTGAGATTGACAGATGGATTGGTGCAGCACCTGCAGTATTGTGGACTCTGTATCGGTCCGTTGTGGTGAAGAGGGAGCTGAGCTGTAAGGCAAAGCTCTCTGTTTACTGGTTGGTCTACGTTCCTACCCTCACCTATGGTCACAAACTGGGGGTAGTGACCCAAAGAATGAGATCGTGGATACAGGCGGTTGAAATGAGTTTCCTCTGCAGGGTAGCTGGACTCGCCTTTAGAGATAAGGTCAGAAGTTCAGTTATCCAGGAGAGACTCAGAGTAGAACCGCTGCTCCTCCACATCGAGAGGAAAAAAGTATTTCGTCTGAAAGACTAAACGTTTCTACACTTTTTTTTGTTTTTGTTTTTTGAACGTTCAGAGGACCTGACATAACTTTTTTTTTTTTAGATTAGTAGAATGCATAGTTTCCTCAAATGATCGGGGTGGTTGATTTACATAAATATACGTTGGTGGCCATCTTGTATTGTTATGTAGCAACCTAATTTTCAACAGTGACCTTTCCTTAGATCAGGGCTATTCAACTGGTGGTCTGAGGGCCAAATCAGGCCCACGGGTGAACTCAGTTCGGCCCATCTTTGGGTTCATTTTTAAATAAAACTAGATTTTAAACCATAAAACAAACTTAATGACAATAACTGCCGGATGTCTGGCCCCTGAGCTCTTGGCTTTTAGTAACTGTGGCCCCCTGAACAATTTAGCTGAATAGCACTGGCCTAGGT